TATGTCACTTCACACAAAAGAAATTTCAGTACAGTATGCTAATTCAATGAACTACAGATTCTTACTGAGTTCCACAATAGAATTATAAATGGGAAAATAATTAGCTAAGATTTAAGCAAGAGTTGGCAAGCTTTCTGAAATATTAATTAAAAGAAAAATAGTTTCTAAATAATACTCAAATGTGATATTATTAGAATATCAAAACAAGACCAATTGACAAGGTATCCTCACCATTCTGAATAGCAGAAATACATTAGATAAATTGATTTCTACCAAAATTTTACTACTTAAAAAAAGAAAGAAAATATTCCAAGTAAACTTTGTCCAAAGTTTTTCCATATAAATTTATTAGATTATGTCATTAATTGTCCATAAATATTTAAAACTCATATAAGGCTGTCACATCAAGGACAAGAGAAAACAAAAGCTCTTGGGGGAAGGCCAAGATGTCTACAAAAGGAGACAAAACCTTTCACAAATTGCCTAGCTTTCACAGCTGTGGGCTCACCAAAAACAGCCTGGGATAAAAAATGTCACTCAGAAAGCTACCTAAAGGTAGCTTATAATGTGAAGACATGGAATAAACTGTCATTTTTGAGTTATTGCATTTTTCTTAGTCTCATTAACATTGCCTGTTTCCTTAGACACACCCTAATTTTAACAAGAAGAATGCAGTACAACAAGACCAGGAGCATTGTCCCTGGTAGGTTCTGTGGCTCAACACATGAGGAGACAACTGAGGAAGACACAAACACTACAAAACAGGTGTCACTTCTCCACATGCCTGGCCTCCCTCCTCTGAGGAAAAGGGAGCTGCAGGTGCCCCCGTTTATGGAGTAAAATTCCTATATCTTCAATGCAAGATCTTCTAATTTCTGGGGGTAGGCCTCTTTTTCCTGTGTTAAACATGCAAACATATTCCTCACCCTGAACAAGGTAACAGATGGCTGTCTCTGCAAACCCACGCACACAATGTACATTATGTGGCCGATTTCTTGTAACACACAACTGTTATCGCCCACTTTACAGATGTGATGCCCATGGACTACAGGGAAATAGCTTTGGGACACTCAATCAGTTGGACTTGAAAACCAATTCCATGCTCTCAGTGTTATGTGCCTGGGCAAAGGCCACCAAGGGAAGAAACCTTCATGGCACTTTTCCTCCTTTTTCTCAGGCTCTTTCTCTAGTCACATCCAATCAAGACTCTTGTCTAGTGTAGAATAAGTTGTCTCTAGGCATCTGCTTCAAGTCTCTGCAGCTGTTCATGTCCTCTTCTTAGAAATCCTTCTATATCCATCTCTTCCAGGTCCTCCTCCTATCATCACTATCCACACAACACATACTTGCTGGGCTTCCCATGACTGCCCAATCCCTTTTCCATTTATCTGCCAACTTCCAGGTTTATTTTTTAAGAATACAAGCACTTGGTCTATTTTGTTTAGAAACCACACTGGCTTCCCAGTTTCCACCATTCAGACTAAAGCTTCTCCTTAACTAAGGCTCAATGTAGCACTGAACTTTACCAGCAGTCTCTAAACTCCCTCTTTTTGCATAAAGCTGGTTTATTTATTCATTTAGAAACACTTCTTGAGCATGTTCTCAATCCTCAAATCAGTGGTTGTGTAACTCTATACAGAAGCCACAGCATAGAAATGACCTGATCCCTCTTGCACTCAGCCAGCAGTAGGAAAGCAACCAAAAAGGAAAAGGAGGTCTCTTTTCAACTGAAATGCACTCTGATTAGCAACCTTAATTCTGGCACTACAAGCAAGTCTGAGGAAGTAACTGAAGAAACATGCATACAACACATAAGAGCATGTCTGAAGGCACAGAGATTATGCACACATACATGCACACACACACATCCTCCCCAACTGATTACCAGAGCTTTAGAAACACAAGAACCAGCATCACCACCATGGAAAGCATCAACAATTCTGTGATGTGTGACTTCAGCCCCAATCCACTCCTACGTATATTTACTAGAATAATGAAAGGGATGTAGCAAACTGGATTGGAGCTCTGAAATGTACCAAGCCTACTCACAGTTTCAATCTCATTAAAGAGAGTCCTAAGAAGACAAAGATCTGTATCAGCAACAGATGTGGCTGCCCGAATCCTAGCCTTGTCCTCCTGACTCCCAGAAAGATACTATGAATGCCAAGCCTTGGTGCCCTGCAAAGAAGTGATCATGGCAGTACAAATTCTTATCAAGATAACTGAACTGCCTTCTCTATGATCACAAACTGCCCCTCCAGTTCATCAGGCTGGCAGGAACACAAAGAGCTGTCCAAAGACAGGTTTTGATAATCTTCACTAGAGAGGAGGCAATAAGAGGGATGTGAAAAGCAACTTCACACATTAATCTACATTTTCCTTATGACACCAGGAGGCTGGGGTTACTATTTCCATATGGACAAAAGGCTGCTATGGTCCTAAATTTACTCACTCCTCTCTACCCTAGTGCATAGCCACAGCAACAGGAGTGTGTGGCAGGTCTGTCTAAGGCTGAGTCCAAAGAGGCAGAAACAGGCCAGAAAACCTGCATTCCCCTTCTTAGTGCAGAGCCTGAACTAGAGATGGCCTCACATTACCACCTGGTATTCATCTCCACTCTGGCACTGAGAATTAATTGGCTGTATGGTAAGTCCAACTCATTTTGCCTCTCCTAAGAAATGCTCCCAACATAAAGTTGTTTAGTATGGTATGGGGAGATGAGAAAAATGAAAGAGATGCTCAAAATCTCTGGACAATATCTAGTGAAGAGATATGACATATGTACATTTATTCCATGTGCTCTAAATAGCACAAGTTATGTTCAAGGAAAAGACAAATTTTCCACAAGTTACTTCATGAAATATTCTGTTCCTAACTGAAGTTGTCCAGACAGTACTCAGGAGTTATCTGGTAAGGAAGTGTCAGAAAAGTTCAACAGGGCAGATGCTGAACACAAGCCATTCATTCCCAGTACAGTGGTTACTGAGCAGTTACTGAGACCAGTGCTGTGTGAGGCAGGGTCAGAAAACGACACAGCAGTGCTCTTTATAGAAGTCCACAGCCCAAAGGGAGAAGCAGCCCTTGAAGCTCCCAGACTCTACTGTGACCCTCAATATATGGCACAGCCTTACCAGAGTTAATATTTAGCTTTATTGTATGTCAGCACTGACCCAATCTCCCCAAGTAGAACAGAAGCCACTTACATCACACTTGAGACATGGTGCCCTTCATGGGTTTCTTTTCAGTCAGACAAAGTTATCCATTGTCAGAGCTGCATGATAATACTCAAGAGGCCCAAGACAGATACTTCAAAAACTGTCCAGACATTTTTATACCACAAAGCAAAGTACTATTAATCCTAAAGTTTTATTACAAATTGTTATACAAAAAACAGTTACATCAGCAAGCTACATTTCCTAGCAGAAGAAATCCAACCTTCCTTCCCCAAAACCCCAAAACTAAACATCATTGCTTCAGACACTGCTTCTCTACCTATTTCCAGCTTTCTTGTTAGGGACCAGGGCTCTCTTATTCATATGCCCTCACGGAGAAAACACCCTTGAACTACATCAGGGTCTGCAGAAGCATGAAATGGGGAAGGATTTCATGTCTGATCCCTTTGTTCCTTAGTGCCAGAGCAAGTGACACACAGGCTAGCTAAACACCACTAGAAAAATTTTCATATGTGTACCTGAGCTATGCACAACCTTGCTCATCTCTCCCATAAACACAGACATATCTCATTACCTTTGCACATCATCAGGGACCCGATGTTCTTATGGAGCAGATGGACAGTGAGTGTAGTACAAATCTGCACCAAGCCATTGTCCCTATCACCTGCCACACATTTTTCTAATTTTAATGCTCCTTACAAGTCACATAAGAGGGAGAATCTCTAAAGACACATTAACTCTGGTTTCCTACTTCAACAAATTATAAGTGCTTAGAATTTTGATTCCATCTTACACCTCCCTAAGTGTTCTTCAGAGGCTCAATGTTCCCCAGCAGAATTCTTCCGGTGACATTGTCAAGAAGAGACACAGACAACAAATATTTTGTTTCCACTTACATTTCATACTTCCTGGATTTATTCTTCCAGTCGCAATGTTCTTAAACAATCTAAACTTTCCCCCACAATTTTTTCACATATCCAATAAGGAAAGGAGACTATTTCAAAGGTGAAAGTTTCATGACTAAAACAAATTCTTTATGCATTTTGAGAATTGAGAGGGTCTGAAGTTGACTGAGTAAATTAAATACAATATAATTTATTGGACAGCAATGAGCACTTAACTTTAGGCTTACAAATATCACAAACATAAGACAAATGCAAGAGAAAGATGTAGAAGCGACAGTTTTCAGGGTCTGTTCCTCCAAAAATGCGCCTAATCGCGTCCACCCTCTCCCAATGGATGCTGTTGCCCTAGTTTTGCACACCTCACAAAGTGTGTTAAAACCGTTTTTGCAGCCCTTCATCTGCGAGCTGACCAGGGGTGCAGCCACAGAGGTGGAGACTGGAACGCTGGCTAGTGGGACTGAGACATGGATGATCTGCGTCCCATATTAGGGCTCCCTGAGAAATTAGCCCTCCTTATTCTTTTGCAGTTGCGTCTTATCCACAGTCGCCACGGCTTTTCATTTCAAGGGGGTAGAAACACTTCCCAAACAGGGAGAAACCCAAGAGAGTTTCCCGCTGCATGGCAGCACGAGCGACTCTGGGGAGGGGGGTATTAATAGGGCTTGGGGGTTCTGCTCCGACAGGGAGGTCTAAGGATATCGCAGCGCCTGCAAAGGGACTCCGAGGCACCCAAATGCTCCCTCACAGCCCTCCAAGACCCTCGCTCCCTTCAAGGACCCCTCAGTCCCCTAGCGGCCTCCTCAGGCGCCTCACTCTCGCCTCAGTCTCCTCATTCGCCCCACAGCCCCTCATTACCCCTCACTCTCCTCAAGCCCCCCTATAATAGAGGGTGGTTTGATAAACTTTACATTCCACCGCCTACCTCGTCTCCGGTGCTCAGCCATGTCTTCAGCTCCTCCCGGACCTGCGCCGCCGTTTCCGGATTCCGCCCTGCTATGCCCGCCTACTCCAGCAGAAAGAGCCAATCCGCAGCCGAGTCTCCTCCTAGGATTGGCTCATACCGAAGCTGTGGGCGTGCCACCGTTCCGAACCCAGTCCGGAGTACCCAGTGGCGGAGCCTGCGCGGGGGGGGGGGGGGGGGAGTGAGTGGAGGGGATGAATGGGGGTGGGGGCAAGTTCCCGGTCGGTGGCACCTGGAGCTCAGAGTGCGAAGCCTAATGGTCGCCGTATGGGAGACGGGGAAGACTAAGACCTGGAGATTGGAGGACGAGAACTTGCTCTGTGCGGGCCCTTCTCGTCCCTCAGGCCGCTTGACCCAAGCTCCCTCATAGCCGCGTCTCCACGTGTCTTCCCACCCTTTCCGCTCTCACCGAGAAGGCTCCCGGTCGACCGCGTCGACAGACTGCCCCTCGCCCGGCGCGTTCCCAGCTTTCGAGCTGGTGTCTCCAGAAACACGATCGCAAGTGTCTGTGACCGGCCCTCCTCTGCACGAGAGAAGCGGGAGACCGCACCTCAGGACTAAATGGACCTCAGCACGACCAGTGCTGTGGAGAAAGCAAATGAGGGAGCGCAGCCGAGTGCCTTAGTTGGGGCTCTTAGGAGCAAGTGCGAACAGGACTCGGAGCTGGAAGCCGCGGAGCGCGCCTGCAGCGGCGCTGGTAGCGAGGGTCAGAGTCTTAGAGGAGGAAGCTGCAAGTCAAGGGTTGGCCCTGCGCAGAGGAGTGAAGCGACCTGATGTGCCTTTGAGAAGCAGTTTTGCGCTGTGCTAAGAGTAGAATTCAGTGGGAGGAAGCTGGAGACACCTTGAGTCAGCTGCAGCAGGGAAGACGTTGGCGACCAGCATCTGAGTGGGAGCCTTGGAGAGTGCCGGAGGAAGCAGGCAGACTGAATGTGTTTGAAGGCAAAGCAAAAGGGACATTCTGGCTGATCACACTGGGCCCTGTCAGATTGGTTCGCACGAACAGTTAAGTGTAGAGTAGCTCCAAGATTTTGGTCTGTAGGCTGGAAGCTTGGAGCTGCACGGCCGGTTAGAAGGTTAGTAGAAGGTTAGCTACTAGTAGTCATAGAAGACATTGGCTAAAGGGGCAAAATGTTATGCAGAGATCCATCAGAGGGATCCTTGCTGGGTGATGGCGTGCAGCTTCAGGCAAGTGAAGTTTGAGATGCACACAGAATGCACAGACCCAAGAGGGCCCAAGGGGATGGAAGGCAGAGAAGGGGGTCAGGGACTTTTGGAAAGTGGGGAGATGTGAGGTTCCAGCTGTGATAGGGGGTGGCCAGAGAGGAAAGGGAAACACAAGAAACTTTCCTGAAACCAGGTCAAAAAAAGAATCATTTATCTGAAATGGTGTCCACAGGTCTAGATGAAAGCTGATCATATGCAGCTTGATATGTCAAGCAAGTTCCTTGGTGACTTTGATTACAGTAATTTCATGAGAATGTAGAGATGAAAAATTCATGAAACTTAACAGAACCACAGGAAGACACTGGATGTGGACAGCTCTGGTGGGACCAGGAAAATAGGGTGATAGCTTGAGGAGTTTTACGCACACAGAGAAAGAGAGAGAATGAGTTTATGTACCAATCTAACCATATCAACTTGATATTGAAAAAAATACCTTAGGAGAGAGAACAGTACAACTGGAGTAATACTCTTGATTAAGCAGCATCTTGGAGTTGTCATTCTCTACTTCATCATTCCCAGAATTCAAACCTATACTGGACTTCCCCACCTTTTAGCAAAATCTTTCTAGTAACCATGTATTTTCCCAAGCCCTGCTTTTTCAGTCACTTTCACCTGAACTTTTTGAAAAAGCCTATTACAGAGCCAGTATCCAATTTGACTTCTTCAGCTGATACCGTGGTCCACCCATCTTCTTTCACCCCTCCAGTGTCCCTGCTTCCCATGGACATCCACAAACTCCAACACACACTCATCAGTACTATTATAATACAATCTCTCAGAAGCACCATTCACTACCAATCTTCCTAACTCCTTTCTCATTTCCCACATGACTCATCCAGAGGAAAAATATCAAATAGCATAAATTCTCCTTGCAACATTTCTTAGTTCTACTCCTAGTTGGTGTTTTTAGCATTGCTCAGGCTCACTAGGATTTCTTCCGGCATTTTAATTTCCTCAATCACACTCTTGTTTTGTCATTCCCATTCACCACCATCTTGTGTCCTCCTAGGAGCCAAAAAAGATCTTTTAAAAATCTCATTGCCATTCAAAAAACACTCGGTGTAACCCACCAGAGCAACAAGTTACAAAAGAAAGGTCACACAATCTTATCAACAGACAGAATATTTGACAAAATGCAACAGATACTCACTATTTTTTTAAAGCCAACAAGCAGAAGCAAGGTAAAATCTTCAATTTGATAATATCTATAAAAACTCTATAGCTAACATCATAATGCAATTTCCCCACTAGGATTAGGAATAAAGTAAGAATGCTCCCTTTTACCGATGCTTTTCAACATCATATTAGAAATCCGAAATAATGTAAGAAGACAAGAATAGGAAATTTAAAAATATACACACTAAGAGAGAAATAAAATTGTTTTTGTCCACAAATGACATCATATGCAGAAAATCTTACTGCCCTGCTCAAAATTCTATGTTGTGTGTAAGATACAACATCAAGTCCATAAAACTTCCATAAGAACACCTGACTCACTGTCCAGCCACACGTTCATCCACCTTTTTCTAAGTCTCTTAGTTGTGATTCTCCTAAGTGGTCATTTAGAAGAAAAAGTACCCAACACTTCTCATCCCAGGTTTTCCAGCTTGCCTTTCCTTCTGCCTTCCTCAGGGTGCTAGTAGATAATAACCTCTGACCACCCCACTACTCACCAGGTTTCACCTCATTCCTGGTTGCTTTCTTTGAAACCATAGGAAATCCTCAGCTGGGAGAAATGGGGTGAGAAGGGGAAACCCTGAGTCATTGTGGTGGGGGGAATGAAAGTCAGCAGAAAACATACTCTACCTACCTTTGCAGTGTGAGGTGCATCCTACACTGTTCTTCAGAAAATCCCAAGCAGGACAAAACTCAGCCACCTGCAGGAAGGACAGCCTGTCAAGGTATTTTTATTCTCTTTCTTTCCCAGTCTCACTCTGTTTACTTCCTCTGCTAGTTTCTGGAGATCAGTCTCAAAAAGCTACTTAGGGAGAACCTAGAAGATTTAACTTAATTATGACTTCTTTAAAGCATTCTTCCATGACAGCACAAAATATTAGCTGCCCTTTTCATCCTCCAACAACATCTTGTCTTTTTCCTTCATATAAGCAATTGTTTTTCTGATTCCATGTTAGTCCTATAACTTTTATCATGACTTTCCCCCACCAAGACTGGACAGTCCATGTGGTTGGTGACTGTCAAAGTAGTAAGTACTGTGTTACTTTTGTTTCTTCTGTTGCATGAGAGGACAAATACATATTTGAAAGGACGAAGACAAACACACAGAGGAGGAAACTAAAGAGCTACTAAAATTTCAAATCTAACAGATTTGTCTGGAATCTAGATTTTTGATTGAGGTATGGCACACCAATTCATTGCTTTTTGACAGCACACATTTGGCAGATGCTAGAAACATTGAGAAATTACTGTGGTTAGATTTGTTAAGCAGTTATGTAAATAAATTGCAACTGATTAATATTTGAGTGATTGAGTATATAAAAATTTTAAGGAAACTTAAGATTTTGACATTTTTGAAAAGATTGGACCTATTCCAGATGTTTCACACTTTATTTCTTTCAAACTCATTCGTCTTTCTTTAAAATTCAATTTGATGTTTACATTTTTGGGCTCATTTTAAAATCTCTTAAATTTCTCCACAACACAGAGGCATAGCAAGGTCCATTGCTACATTCCCATTAAAATGGGCCTCAGAGACTTATAGGGCCCTGCAATCCACAGTACAGGAGCCCAGTCTGGCCAGCGCATTTACCTCTAGGCCTCTGGAACTTTTCTTTTAGGCTGGGCCGTCCCAATTTGATCTCAGAAGAAATTTCCATTTATCCAACTGGGTCTCAGTCACTCCAGACTGCTGCTGGGTGCCAAAGCAACTTTTACAAAGCTCTTCCTCTTCCTTTGGTGTTGCAGCAGCCCTGGCCTTCTGAGATCTCCTCCGAGGGCACTTGCAGGATCTTGTTCCAGGGTCTGTGACGCCCCTGGTAGAACCTGCCTCCGACAGTAGGCAGAGCCCCGCACAAGTAACCTACAGGAAGGTGGCCTGTGGAGATCAAGAAAAGCTTGGTATCCCGCCTCCCCATAGCGCGCACTTGCGGATACCCTGCCAGTCCACTTCCCGCGCCTCTCGCCCCGGAAGTCCCAGAGCATTCACGGGTCTCCGCGCCTCGCGGGCGCCGAGGCGGAGGCGGGATCCTTGCTAACTTTCGGCGCGCGGAGCACGTGCTGCGAGTCCTCGGCCACCCCACTGGCTGGTTTGGGCGCAACAGTTGGGCTGGCAGCACCGCCTCAGAGGCCGTGTGCGCGCTTCCGTGTGCGCGCTGGGTGGCGGCGGCCAGGACTCCGGGCTTCCCGATGGGGCCGCGCGCCTGCCGCCCCCCTCTGCGCAGAGCCTCCCGGCGCGCAGTGCGCAGGCGCCAGCGCGGGGACCCACGACGCGCCCGGCTCCAGCGCGGTCGGAGCGCGCGGCAGCTCAGACTGGCAGATATCGGCAGAGCCCACCTCGCCATGTCGCCCCGCACCTGCTGAACCTGGAGTCCTGAGATGTCCGCGCTGAGAAAGGTGAGAGCCGTGGAGCATGGGGCTGGGGCCAGCGCCGTCGGGCAGAAGAGATGCTCACGGAGGCGCGCGGGGGCAGCGGGGCCCGGGGACCCCGGGGTGCGGGCAAGGAGATGTGAAGCGTCCGCGGGGCGCGGGGCAGCCGAGGGGAGCGGGGCTGCCAGCGATGCGCCTCAGTCCCGGGGCCTGGGTGGCTGCGGACGCGAGGGGCGCGGGAGGGGCCGCGCCCGCTCCCCAAGTGAGCGCGGAGACTGCTTTTTTCGGGTGGTTGCTAAGCGCGGCTTCCCAGGCGCAGGGCTGGTAACTAAGCCTCCCCCAGCCTCTGCC